AAAAAAAAAAAAAAAAAAAAAAAATCAACCAATGTATGAACAGAGTTGAACATGGGAGCAGAAAACTACATTTTAGAGCATTAAAAAAAAAACTTGCCACTTTTCCTCTCCAACTATTAGGTACATTCATAAAGTCCTGACATCATGATGGCAGAATGTGGGTCAGATTAAAACATGTAGCTGTTCCCTCTCCACCCACAAAATCATGTTTATAATCTTTGCTCTCAAATACTTCTGTTTAATTCAAATAACCCAGGCAAAAGCAACTCAAAAGAGAGCACCGGGGGGAGGGCAGGGCAGAAATCTAAAAATGTTTCATATAAAATATTTTCATAAATCGCAAGTTATTCATTTGAACTATTTCATCTTAATTGAAACAATTTCAATAGTTGTATTTTCATTTTTAGGTACAATTTCTCCTTTTTTTCTTTATTGATTCCCCTACCTGGTTTTCCTGCCTTTAAACTATTTTACAGTTGGGGAAGGGGAGGGAAAGGAAAGAAGAAACAGTGGAGAGAAGCAAACATTAGAGGCAGTCTTTTGTGTTGGGGTTTCAGCAAGAAAATGGGAAATTGTACAGAAACTTTGTATTGGTAAAGAGACTTTCTGAAAAACAGCTCAATTCCTTTGAAGAGTTTCAGTCACCGACAAGGCCCGTTGTGCCACCCTTCGTGCTTTCACCCCTATTTTTTTTTTAGCCAAACACCAACTTTGACATCAGCCGCCTACTCTCCACGTCCAATCCCTTCCACATTCGTCTGGTTGTTGACCTCGTTTGTGCCTGGTCTTCGCTCTTCGGCCAGCTCTGTTTTTTATGCATAAGGATTCTTTAATTTTTCCCCTCCCAGCCTCAAAACACCATCACTATACTGCATTGCATTTACCCCTTGAGCTCTTGGGATAGCAGCTTATAGCAGCACCAATTTCTCCACCCTCCCAAACCCACACCAATCAAGTTTCCACTGCCGCTGCCTTTGGGCCAAATGCCTCCACTCTTCCTCTACTCGATCTCCTCGTTTCCTAGCAAGGGTTTGTGATCTCGACTCCATTCTCATTCCCTTTCACCTTGCTGCAGCGTTTAGATTGGGCCAGTCCTTCATCTTCTAGACCTTGTCCTCACAGCCCCAATGTCAGGATCCTCCGTTCCTCTGGACCGTTTTTGCATCTTTTCCTTTGCAACTCCCCGAGCATCTCTGGGAGCTGCCAGGGCTCTGTTCTTGGCTGTCACCATCTCCTCTACACTTTCTCCCTGGTGTCACCTGTTCAAGGCTTGCAGTCATCCCCATGCTGATGACCAACACATGCATCCCAGCTCACTAGGATGCTACCAGCTCCTGGAGTTTGTTGCTTGAAAGCACCTTAAATCCAAGGGTGAGGTCTGGGTGCCAGAGAAGCCAGCATCTTTCCCATGAGACAGAAGCAGTGCTGAAGGAGTTGGCTGGCAGTCAAAGGAGAAACAGCTGAAGACTTGGTGCAATAAGGGCACCGAGGTAGCCGGTGTGGTGTCTGGTATACTTTGGTTTGAGATGGATTCAGGCCAATAGCATAAAGAACTAAAATGAACTAGGAGCTGAGCCAACTCTGGACTGGGCCAGCCCGGGGCAGATGGCAGAGGTGGATCCAGAAGGGATGCCCTGGTGCATCTGTACCCCCTTCTTACCATGCCACAGGACCAGAGACTTAAGTCCCAAAGGAGGTAAAATTCCCCCCTCTATCCCTCTACGTTCAAAGGCTCGTCCCCTTTCCTCCCATTCCCTTCCCTGGCCTGCCACTCCTGCTGTCCCAGGGCAAGGAGAGGTCCTGTCTTGTTCCACCTGGGCTTTACAGGGGTGGGCTCAGCCCAGGACTGTAGCAACAGCAGCAGGCATGGTCCCATGCCTCGGTCCCAGGCGAGTGCAGCCCCCATACAGCTTGACTCAAGGGGGACAGTGCAGACCCCACCAGTGACAGGCAGGGGAGGGGGACATAGGAGGGGACAGGACGGCAAGGGGAATTCTCTCTTACCTTTGGGACTTAAGTCTCCAGCTGCCGCTCCTAAGATGCGACCTGTCCACCCTGGTCAGAGGTGGGGGCGGGGGAGGCAGGCTGGAAGCAGGGGGGAAGCCTCCCCTGCAACTACACCTTTGTAAAACCCTGGATCTGTTTATGGTACCAAACAGTCAAGGCTGCATGTGCAAAACACGAACATCTTCTCTTTTCTACTTTGCCTGATCAAACCAGATGCCAAGCAGGAGCTTGGTGGATCCCAGGCTCTGTAGGGGATCAGGGATCTGGCTCCTGCTCCCTCTGACTGCACCTTACATTGATGTAAGTCTGGACAAGTAAGCAAGGTCCTCCTCAGACCAATGAACAGATGCACCCTTCTGGGTAGACCAGCAGCTGTCTCACTAGCAAAACGTTGTCTCCAGCTTCTCTCACACCAAGTGCATCTGAAGGTACATTTCAAACCTTTAAATTTTTCCATTTACGATGAAACTTGAATGATTAATGGCAGAAATCACCCATTATTATTCTTGTTTAATTAGGTTTAAAGCCTCATCACTTTAATATTTACGATTATGTTCTTCGGATGCATTACGTCGACATGCCATTGCTCTTCTTGCCACAAATCACACCTTACCCGTACCAGTCTTCCACGGCATTTAGCTAATACGACTTAAAAAAAAAAGACATGTTGAACATTAGAATAAAAGCAGAATGGGAAGCCAGAGAGTGTGAATCCATAAGCGACTCTTTATTGCAAACCCCAATCTCAATTTACATTAGATACTGGTCACTGCAAGTTTGGAAAAAACTTATGAGACTGGCAACATCAATGTTCACTTTATATTGCAGATGCCACCACACTGCTCACAGGGAGAGTAACCCAACCAAGTGTGAAGCAAACTCCATTACAGTATTGTGGAGACAAATATCACAATAAGTATCAAGGAACAAAGTCTTTGCATAATGTGGCCCAATGCTCAAGCCCGGTAAAAATAAAAATAGGCTTGGGGCGTCTTGGATTCCTCTAAATCAGATTCCCAACCAAACCGAAGTCTCACTCTCCCTCTGTCTCAAACCAAAGATACTAAAAAGATCAGCTGAACCAAATCCCTACCATCATCCAAATATTGTCCAGGAATTGGGTTCCTGGTTATTTTGTTTCTGACAGAAGCTTCTTCCAATCCCATCCAGCCTCAACCTACTGCCAAATTTCTTTTAAAAATTTAAGAGAGAGAGTCAGAAAGGTCAGCAATGTCCATGCTATATTCCTCTTGACTAAACAAGGTCTTCAGGGCAGAAAAAGTCTCCCCATGTGTTAAGTATCCATGTTAAAACCCAGAGCTGCTCAAGCTGGCTAATTTGGGATGATCTATTGGGTTTGTTGGCTGGGTCAAGTCCCAAATTAGTAGCCACCCCAATTCAAAGTATGTGGCCAAACTGGATCTTCAGAGCAGTAATACCAGCCACTGTTTATGACCCCACAGGATGTGCATGTGCTTACATTTACACACCACATATTGCCATCCACGTCACCAACACTATCCACAACGTGTGCCGTTGCACCCACAACCATATACACAAGTCTTCATGGAAGGAGGCCCCAGGACAGTATCCCCACAGTCCCCTCTGCCAGCCAAAGTACCAGGCTATAGAGTAGCCAATGCAAGCACGTGCACCATTGGCAAGTCAGTCCCAGATGTTCAGATCTGCCACCAAGGGGCTCAGCCAGTCCCACTGCTTTGGTCCACGCAGTGACATTTTCCATCTCGACAAATGCCGGGCCCCCTAGAACCTGACAGACAGCGATCAAAGACGACTTGCAAACACATGTTCTTTACAAATACTCTCTCTTTATATAATCTCAAAGCGCGTATATTTATGCACGTTTCATAGTTACAAGTTTTCCTTGTTCTTAGAGTTAAAAAAAAAACACCAAAACCCTGACATATTTACTGGCTTAGTCTTCTTTTATACATTTTTTTCCTTTGTAAAAAAAAAAAAAAAATGAGGTAAAATAAAAAATACAGTCATTCTGTATTGCTCAAATATTTGTAATTCAATAAGGCATTTTTCATGTCAAGAAGTGCAATTTTGCTTCCACAGCTCTTTAAGAAGTAAAATACCTTTATCTGTAAGTCACCAAACATCCGACTCTAGGAACTGCACCAAATATCTTAATGCATTCTGTTTTCAATCCATCTCGCTTTTCCTATACTCAGCTGAAGGTCAGGAGAGATCTATATGAAAGTTATGCTTATGGTAATTCATCTTTACAGTTATAGGCAGGGCAGTAAGCATATCTACACTCTGTGAAATTGCCTATGATTGTTAGAGAATGGAAGTCAATAATACCTACAGTTATATCACTCAAGTGTTTACACTTCATGTATGCAAAAGCAAGAAGGTTTGAGTTTTTGTGTTTTGGGTTTTTTTTACAAGTATACACTCTGCCTCAAGCTACCGAGACATGATACAATTATAAAAGAAAAATGCCATAGGAATTCATCATGAAAAATCCAGCATATAACAAGAAACTGTTGTTTATCTGTTCAACTCGGTCCTCAGATATTTCTACAGGTTTGTACAGATAGCTGTGCTCCCAAGGAAGTCAATGGGCATGCTTCATGGACTCCTGCAGGACCTGGATCTTAGCTCAAAAGGGAGTTTTCTTAAAGGCCTCGTTTGGCCCCCACTGAAGCCAGCAGCAAAATTCCCACCAACTTCCACCCCCATGAGCAGGACTTTCAACATCTCTCCCCATTTGTTTAATATTGATCCCATTCAAGCCAACAGAAAGCACCCCCATTGAGAACTGGCCCTACCACAGGAACAATTTTTTTTGCAATATAAGTCCATTTCAAAGCACCTGCATTTGCTGTCATGTTTGCCCCAAGAAACCCACAGCTCTTTAGCATGTGAAGACAGACAACAAATAGCATTTTTTGTTCGGCCTTCTGCCCTAGAAGCACATTTTTCATGAAACTTGATGAAAACCTTGGAATTATCAACTACCTAAAAGTTTGTACCACAACTGTTTCCCACCCTTTGGAAGAGAAGCCTGACATAATCCAGAGCCAGAACTTTTTAATAATTTTTGATTAATTTTTGGAGGCAAGAGCCAAGTGAACTACTGCTGCTTTAAGGCTCTTAACTAAACATGCAAGGCACGCTACCCTGCATCTTGAAAATGCTTCCAAGTTTAAAATGGGACCCTTGGGTACACGCTGTATCAAACAGCAGTTGTTAAGCTTTACTTTAACTGCTTTATTCTAACAGGTATTTTTACAAAGAAACAGCTTAAAAATCCGTAAGTGATAGGAAGTCGATTTCTACTCGGGTATTGAGTTGTAACATTTATGGTACTACAGCATAAAAACTTCAAGGCCAAACAATACCAGCACCAAAGGAGGAAGGTTGGCCTTTCCTCCATCCCACAACAGACTTCAGAAACGCCTGTGTATTGAATCTCCCTGCCCCAGCTTGCTCCTCTGGACACACAACTTGCTACAAGACAAATCTGATGTGAAATGGGTGGACGTTCAAATCTTTGTAAACACAGGACAAGCAGCTTACGATTAGAAATGCAAGGGATCAGTGTAAAAGAAAGTCTTGATAAATAGACATTACATACAGACAAAGACTCCTATAATAAAACTCAGATCTGATGAAATATAAAAATACTGAACATTCAGAGCATTTTGGTCAGTGGATAGTGGGGGTTCCCCTCCCCCTATAAGTTAATATACATTTATATCCACCAGCTTTTTTCTCCTATCTTGCTCATAAAAATAAGAGTGTTATTTTAAATAATTTTAAATCTGGAACCTGATCTAGAATTCATCATGTTTTACCCTAAACGGCCACGTGGAATGCTGCGATACGCTATTGGCAGCTAAAAGCACAAGGTACATAAATTCTTCCACATCGAAGGAGTAGTTAGTAAACTTTGGATGTTTCCCCAGTGTCGGGTGGTGTCCCTGGAAAAACAAAGTAGGTTTAAGAAAGCGTACACATTCGAAAAATGAGTCATGAATTGAGCAATCAGCATTTTAATGTATAATCTCAAATCCACTGATTTCCCTTACAGCAACTGTGTCACTAAGTAACTGTGTAACAACAGTGTTATTGATGGCTTGTACTAACAGCCAATTAATTTCATTTCTCTTCCTCCCCCAACCCCACCCAGCTATTAATACAAAATGTCTCCTAAATCAGAGGAAAGTTCATTTGGGCTAGCTTACCAATATCACATTTCACATACACAAATAAAGACAAGGAAAACAAATTTACTTTTAATTAATTAAAAATAGCATCCTCCCCCACACCTGCTATGCATTACCTGATCCTGAGGAAAGACTTTGTCCTTTTTTTGCCAAGTGATATAGTGAACACCTCTGAGCCTTGCTAAATCCAGATAACACCGTTCATCTTCACAGTTGTACCTAGGGACATGCAGAATCATATAGTTACCCTCAAAGACTGCCCTAAAATACAAATACGTGTTGTTCATTTGTAAGGCAGCAAAACCCAGAGCCAAATTCTACACTTTAGACAAACTCATTAATTGAAGCAGGATTGCCCAGGATAGAAATCAATGCTCTTAATGAAATGCAGTATACTTGTCCTGTGTATTTAGAGTAAGGATGTCTCACAATGATGCTTCAGAAGAAATATAGTGACAATGGAAATCCCAGGGCAATTTAGGTAGAACAAACTGCACATAGCTGTGCTGGAATTTAGCCAGGATGGTGGTACCAAGCACTCTTACTCCACTAAATAAATCATAGGAACTTCAACAGTCAGGGCTTGTTCCATTTCCTCACCTGATTTAACTCACTTGGAAAATCAAAACGCCCTCTTCAGGTATGTTCAGACAAGTGTGGTACATGGCACCGCAGCTCCACATTGCACACACTGCTGCATATCACGCATGCCGCATATGCAGTCATTCCCTGCACTGCTAATTTCCAGCACTGGAGGGTGGGGATTTGACCCCAGGAGTTCCCAAGGGTCCAAAAACCCGTGCCTTAAAAAAGCAGGGCAGCACATGTGGTAGCAGTGCATGCCTCCCAAAACTAGAGCCTGGACAGCCGGAGACCACTCTTCAACTGCTGGCCAGGCTCCCTGCTGCAGGAGCGCTGCAGCTGCAGCTCCTGGAGGCCTCCAGGAAAAGTTGCTGGCCCCAGCCTCTCCCCTTTACCCAGGGCAACATGCCACACGCCGGAGTGCACATGGCATGGGAGTTTCCTGAGGACAAGCAGCAGTAGCACACATTGTGCCGCTACTGTTTGTCCATAGGGAAATGCACATTCCCACTCATGGGAACATGCCTTTCTTGGCAACATCAGGGTCTTTTACCAAAACAGACCCACTGGGAGAATCCAACCCATGTTCCTCCTCCTCTTCTTTTATTTTTATTTTTTTTGAGTCTTCCCATCCAATCACCAACTAGATGATTCCCTGCTTAGCTATGAGATCTGATGAAATCACAAATAAGGATTCTTTCAATCCTCCATCCAGAAGAATAACCTTCACTCACCTAGTCTAAAGTTTCAGCCCCCAAAAGGTGAACATTATGAACAACTGAAGGACGATGGTTATAATGGAAACATGCAGACAACCTAAGAGCTGTTACTGTTGATGCTACAATACCAAGAAGGAATCGTTCCTCAAAAAGGCATGGAAAAAGTCATGTGTTAAAATAAATGGAATAAAAGGACTTACAGCTCAAAAACGACAGCCCAGTCTGGGAGAAAGAGCAGATGCGTGAGTCCAGCTCCATGCATGCCGATGAATATATCGGAGTTGTGTGTGATTCTCAACTGTTCTGAAAATGCAAGTTCCCTGCAGACAACATAATACTTGTTAGCATCCAGAATGCCTCCTTGTCTTAGCACAATTAGCTATGTTCAAATAACATAAAATTCACTGAAGGAAGGGTAATTCTGGAAGAGGACAGTGCTCCAAAGCATGGATATCTTTGAAACAACAATCCCCTAAACTGTAACCACTCTGCCCAGCACCATTCACCGCAGGAGCGGAGACAGCACGTTTTCACACCTTCGCTCTAACAAGACTCCGCCGCAGACTTAAGACTTTCTCAGGTACGTTCTCCAATTAACCCTAGCAATGTGCGATCATCACCTTATGTAGGAACAGGCATCCAGCTTAGTCTCAGGCATCTAGAGTGGAGGGCACTAGATGGAAACCTGGAGACCTTGATTCAATTCCTGGGCCTCCCGCTGACCTGCTGTGAACCTAGGCGAGTCATTTCAACTCTTGGCCTCTGTTCCTTTGGGATTTGCTTGCTTAGACTAAACTCTCTGGGGCAGGGACTGTTTGCACAACGTGCGTGCACTGCCTATCTACCTAGCACCTCCATTTCAAATAAAGCGTCTTGGCACCACCATAATATCTAATGATAACAGGAGATCTTACACCCATTAGCATGCAATGACGGAAACAAATAACAAAAGAATTGACCAGCTGACCTACTAAAGGGACTAAAGGGCACCAATCTTTGGTTTCTGCCTCTCAGCTCCCCTAAGGATTGGTAATGTTGGTGATCACCAGCAAACCCAGCAGCGGGACATGAACACACTTGCTTTGGAGGATTTAGGAAGGTGAAGTTCTTCAGCCTGGAGCTCGTCCAACTTGACAGTCATTCTTGCACAGCCGGCTGCGGGGTAGGGCACGTCGAGTCAGTTCCCACAGCAACTGCTTTTATACTGACAGCTCTTGGGTTTTCAAAAACAAGCTACACCCAGGTAGGAAATTCTGCGGGGGTCTAGATCTTAACCACCACAGACAACAAAAGAGACAGACAACATGATCCTCTCCCCACATACGTACTTGTACTTGTAATCTACTACTTTGACCTCAAACGATGAGACTGTCTTCAAAGCATTGACAAGCTAGAAAGAAAAGAGTAAGATTTAGTGAGGTACTGATGTTACTTCCTTTTCCCCAGCCCCCACCTGCTTTCCACCTTCTCCCCATATCCACAGGGAATGACACTTGAGATAAGAATGCCTATTTCCACTGCTATAATGAAGGAGTTTGCTTTCCAGTCTCCACATCTCAGGTCCCAGTGCACAGGATAAGTGCCTGCCTAAGCTTCTGACAACATGGATATTCCTTTGCATCACCCCATCTACCATTCACTGCCTTCTTGCACGTCGGCTGATTAAGCGTATGGAAGTACAGCACTGCTTGCACTTTTGGAGATCACTGTTTTTTATATGAAGCCTAGCACCTGACTGAGTACCACTGAAACCACTAGGATTTGAACCATCGCCTCGAAAGGGGCAGCCCAGACTCTACAGGCCAGATTTTTCAAAAGTGTTTGTTTAAGTGTGTAGAGATGCGTCTTAGTTCTCAGCAGCTGTTTGTAGGCTCAGTAACTCCACTGTAAATCTACCGAGCCTCAATCAGTTCTCACTTCATCCAGCTTCACAAAGGTATGACTCCGTTCACCTAAATGCAGTAAGTCCTGATTTACACAATGTGCTGCAATGAGAATCTGGACCTCTCTAGGATTGGAGGTCCATCCAGCAAGGTGTTTAATGCCTAAACTTAAAGCACAGGAACACACCAAATGAGGTGAGCTTTATAAACTGCTAAACCTAATGCCACACGCTGTGATTAAATTTTATCTTGCAGCCAGCATAAGAAAAAGTGCTCCTGTGAGGTCAAGGCCCAACACTGAAGCCATCTTCTGATTTGTACCAAACCTACTACCTCGGTCATCACAGGAGAGCTCTGCAGAGCCTTCCTGGGATACATCACCCAATACAGTTCACTCACATTCAAACTACTTTGAAAATATGTTGGCCTAGGTAACCCACTGTCCTTAGTATATGGGTCCCCTCTAAATAAACTATCGTGCCGATGGTCAAAACACATGGGCATTATCACAACAGCTCTTAAAGACAACAGGGTGCAGGAGGAGAGAGATGGAGTCAAGAGTATTTTTCCCCTACGAAAGTACCATCAAGAAAAGATGCTAACCTCTCTCTTCTTGGCATGTGTCCATTATAAAAGCACACTACATAAGGCAGCAGAGGGGAGGCAGCGTAGTCCAGTGGATTGGGACTGGGACTCTGGAGATCTGGGCACTGCCACTGACCCGCTGTGTGATCTTAGGCAAGTCTCTTAACATGTCAGTGTCTCAGTTTCCCCCATCTGTAAAATGGGGATAACAATGCTTAACCCACCTCTGCAAGTCACTTTCCGAACTAAGAATGAGAAGTGCTAGATGTTGCCATTTTATCAAAGGTGCACCTTAACTGCAAAACACACCCAGTGACCTGTGATTTGAAAATGCAGGCTACTTTGAAAGATTCAAGTGTGCACACTCAGTGAGAGCTATAAGCACAATTTGGAGTATTTCATTAGTCTGCTGGTTTTCAGCACGGACCTGTCAAAAAGTCTAGAGTGAAGATGCACCAATAGGAACCTGAAAGCACAGTAGTCAGCCAAGTAAAATTTAGCTTTAACATCATATTGTGGCTTTGTCTTATTGTCTGAAGAATGGGTACATCTAATTTAGCAGCCCTACTGGCCATCCTTCACCAGGCTCCTCAGATAAATTTACAAAGCAACCAGGCTCAAAACCAGGGGCGTAGACACGGATACTGGCTAGATGGCAACTCTGCTTACAGTAATCCTAGAGCTGAGCACATTTATTCAAGAGTTATCAGACAGTAGTAAAGCCCTAACTGTTGTGCCCAATAGGTACGTGTTGTTGTTGGCTGTTTTTTTTGGGGGGGTTGTTTTTGTTTTGTTTTTTTTTTTTAAAGAAAATAACCCAACCTCATTCTGGTTTAGTATTTTCCGGTAGTCTGTACTGCGCGCAAGTATCGTGACTCGAATTCTCCCATCCTAAAAAGACAGAAGCAGTGAAACATCCGTAAGGCCCCCAAATAAATCAATAGGTCTCATATGATTAGCTTTAAAGGAAGCAATGGTTTGAGCAATCAAGTGTGTTTCCTGCAGGTAAAGTAAAAGCCTCGAGCTAAACAAAAATTTCAAGTATTCTCCAAAAACAATAAATTAAAAACGTCTTGCAGCTACTAGAAATGGAATATTTATTAAATTACCTGCTTCTATTCAAAAAGAACTGCCGCACTACCTGCCAAAATAGCATCTGAATGCAGGAAAAATGAACAGATCATCTGTTTTCTAAGACCCCTGGAAAAAAATGATTTCGCCCATCTACCAACTCTTGCTCTCTTCCCTTCAAATCAACTGGGTCCTTCGGGGTAAATTTTCCAAGCAAAGTAATGAGATTTAGCCACAGGACACCCATTAGTGACAGTGGGAGGTGAAGAGCTAAATGCCCCTGCGACGTGTTGAAAGCATGCTACTTAGCGACAACGTGCAGGCTACTCTCTGGTAAATACTTCAGAAAACCAAAAGTTGTAGTTATCAACACAACTGCACCAAGTCTGCAAGCTCAGTGCCAGGCTTAATTGGTCCTGTTCTACCCCCAAATTGGCCAGGACAGTGAGGCTCTACACACGCATAACCTAAGCCCCTGCAAAAAAAACCAACCAGACACCTTGCAGTACTTTGCCAGGTTCCCTCAATTAGGCTTCAGAGCAGTGCTTGCTGGTGGTGCCTTCTGGAGGTCGTGCATCTACACTTCCTGACCTGGAAGGGCATTTGTTTTTGTGCAGGGATATATGGATTAAGAGTGGGGGAAGGATGGAAGGGAAGAGACTGGGGAAGGCAGTAGCTCCTCAGCATTACAAGAGGAGGTCTGAAGGCTTCTCCAAGGAGAGAGGACATGGGAGTGCCTTTTATTTATATGCTCAGGTGTAGACTAATGGTGTTGACTGACTAGCTGGCAAACAAAAGGAAGAACCAACACAACCCCACGAGAGACAGACTATAACACCTACTACCCTTCTCTGCTGGATCCAGCTAGATACTGCTACTTTTCTGGGCATGAACGATGATGGCTTACAGAAAGGATCTGCAAACTCTAAACCTGAATAGTATAATTCCTACCTTGGGTCCTTCTTGTGTGATATTTAATCTGTGTAACACGTGCTGGGAAAATGCTCTGAATAACCCAGTACCGTGACAGCCAGAGATCTGAAATCAGAGAAGTGATTGGCATTATCACAAGATGCTCTGCTTGCAATCTACCCTCAGACTTGGTTTGCCAACACTGGGAAAACTCAAGCTCTGGAACAATACATATGTGGATGTCTAGGCTCCACAGCAGCAGGATAAAAAGGACTCACCAGTGGCGTATTATAAAATAAGCCATAGCGCATTCGAGGCAATAACGAAAAGACAGCTTCCTTGAAACATACCTGAAAAGAGAGAGCATTAACATGTAAAGGTCACACGCCTACAACTGATTTAACAAGGACATCTTCCATACTCATTCAGTGCACATAGTATTAATACTGAAAAGTCCCCTTCAGCTCCAAATCAGGGACGGCCACTGAATCGTACAAGAAACAGCACAAAAGGCTGGAACGCGTCATTGCCACGCCATACAGTTCTCACATTAGGGGCTAGTTAAAATGCAAGACTGAAAAGATCAAATGAGGAGCAGGAAAAGACAAACATTTGGTACGATCGGCTGCTTCAGGCATCTATAAATCACAGGTGGGCCTGTCTTTGTAGGGATCTGTAGACACCATCTGCTAAAACACAGGTAGGTTTTAAGTACAATTCTCCTACAGAAGGCTTTTGTGGAGGAAAAAGGGCCCACTACTGTAGGCTACAGTTTATCAGCGCAGGGAGTGGAGATTAGAGAAGATTATAAATGTCATCATATACGTATGCATATGCCAAACTTCCCTGCTTCTACACAAGGGGGTGTTTTTGGAGTGCTCTTCCCTCGGCGCCAAGGCTAAAGGTTCAGTTACAGTGCTGTCTGCTCTGACACTACCAGTTTTCATATATATAAAAATACATGAAATAACATCCTTGAAATATAATCCATATATAATACTTGAAGTATGATACATGAAACAGAATATATATTATATAATACTTGAAACAGGATATATATTTCAAGTATATTATTTCACATATATATAAACTGGTAGTGTCAGAGCGGGCAGCACTGTAACTGAACCTTTAGCTTTGGCGCTGAGGGAAGAGCACTCCAAAAAAACAAAAAAAACAACAAAAAAAAACAACAACACACCCCCTCGTGCAGAAGCAGGGAAGTTTGGCATATGCATACAACACCACATGCGGCCACAAAGAACTAGCTTACGGCCTCAGTTTTCACCTGAAGGAAGCCCCGACTTCAACTGGTCCAAAATATTTGTCTTTGAAAAGGCAGGAAAGGTCTAGCACATCACCCTGATAACATACAGGCTAGCAGTTCTGACTTAACATGCAATCCCATACCCTTTTGGAGTCAAACGCTTTCAAGTGTATTATTTCGTAGTCCGTAAATGCCTTCCATGTCTCACTGAACAAGTCTCCATAACCATACGAGCTCTAGGAAGAAAGACAAAAAAAACAAACGTATGCACACCTGTGAGCAAATGAATGCATATGAAAGAAGCCCTCACTGAATGATGGTGAATTCTATGCATTACATTAGTTTCTTGCATGGGCTTTGTCACTTTAGTAACTAAGAGCCAGCCTAATATAAACCACAGTCATGTAGAGCATCTAGGCTGATCCTTACAAGTGTACAGGAGCCTAATTTGAGATAAACAGGCCTATAAACTCTAGTCTAGACCACACTCAGCATAAGGGCAAGGGGAGGGTGTAGCAGGCAGTTCTTGCCAACAGAATACCTCTGGTTGCCACCTACAACCCCCAACTTGAGCAACTTGGACACCTCCAACCCTTTCTGGAAAATAACCATCTCCAGGTAGCCACGAAGAACAACCCTGTCCTGGCTTTCAGGCAGCCTCCCAACCTCAAACAGCATCTCTCCAGCAGCACACTACTTAACTCCTATTCGTAGCAAGGGACCAGACCTGGCTTCAGGCCTGGATGCCTTTAGTGCCTCCTCTTCAACAGAGACCACATCATCATGGGACTAAAAAAAGCCTACAAAACAGAGGCAGGGTCCAGAGAAAGAGAAGAGACTCTAAAGGACGGCATATATTTCATTAGCTGGGAGCCTTTCTACTTTCATGACCCCACTTCTGCAATGAAGTTTTACTGAACTGTGGGTTGGATATAGCTCACCAGCAATACAGGAACTGCTTTCCCAGATCAGTAGTGACAGTCTCATCTTCAAAGCCGGGAGCTCTGCTCCTCCACAACGGAGCAGATTGTCAGGGAACACGGAAACGTCACTTCTGCACGTATAGGACAGGGGTCCTACAAGTGCATTCCCTACTCACTTTCTGGCTTACTTCACTTAAAAGCAATGCTAATGAGGATAGAACAGCAGTGCTACAGTAGCTAAGAAGTATGCACATATCTAATTATGTTAAAAGGGAAAAAAGGGGGGGGGAGGGGTAATGCATAATAAGCTCAAGACATTCTTTTAATAATCAAACAGTCCCAGCAAATCAAGCAGGTTCTTGGTGCCATCATCTGGTAGTATAAGGGAATAACACTGGTGTGTAGACTCAATAAGTAAATTCTTGTAAGCAATGCACACCTCTTGCACTCATTCTATGCTGCGTATTTGTGAACTACAACACAACATTAAGATATCAACACCCTCAATAACACAGGAATTAACAGAAAAAGTATCCCAGTTGTCAAAAGTCCTTCACAACAATACTGTGACATTTTTGGCCTTTTAAGATGATCTTAGGCACTTATTTACATATGCCTACACAGTGTTGGTGACCTTAACATACAGGAAGATGCATGCTTATTTTAAATGGATTTGCTTCCAATATAGATTCATAGACATTAGGGTCAGAAGGGACCTCAACAGATCATTGAGTCCGACTCCCTGCCTGGGCAGGAAAGAGTGCTGGGGTCAGACGATCCTAGCCAGATGCCTATCCAGCCTTCTCTTAAAGACCCACAAGGTAGGGAAGAGCACCACCTTCTTTGGAACAATATATTAGGGCGCATATACATGTGCAGCAACATTGTTCTGATGCGCTGCAATTACAGCATGTCAGAGCAGACGAGGTTAATCGAGTGTGCTGGAGAGTGGTTCTTACTGCGCTCTAGCAGACTCTAGTGCCACATGTGTCAGCATCCCCATGCTGAAAAATGATGGCAGGGGTGCTTTAACTAAAGCTCGTTCGATGAGCTTTAGTTAAAGCACCCCTGCCACCATTCTTCAGCACAGGGACACCGATACACGTGACACTCTGGGCACTTTAATTTGAGCAGTTCTCAGAGCCACTCTAATTAAAGCGCCTCCTCTCCCACCCCAGAACACATGTATAAACACCCTTAGAAAACCTTAAAAACAAATAGTTTTTAATCAGCTGTGTCAGAAGCATCATATTAAGTGAAGTGCTGGAAAGATTAGCTTGTAGTTGAGCTAGGACACATGGAGGGAACACGGACAAGAGCAGATGCACTATGCTGTATCTACGATAGGACTATTCCACACCTTTCCAGAGCTACTTACCGTATCCCACATGACAACATTGACATCGGTGCTGAAAGAGTTGTTAACGTGCTGGGTGATGTAAAGATTGACAAAGTCACAGAAGTGATGGTACATATTGACACCTGAGAGGAGAGGGGAAACATTTGCTGAGATCTAAGAAAGCAAAGCCGCATTCGTTCATGTTTTTGTGGATGAGCACATTGAGTCATTTCCTTTTGAACAAGACAGGTCTTCAGCCCAGCATATGGGACTGTTGGCAGTTTATATTAGTTTTCCCGCTCGTAGAACTGAGGGCTTCTTATACCCCTTACAGTGGAAGTCAGGGAAGAAAACACTAATGTCTTGGAGATTTCTTAAGCCACAGAACAGCCAAATGCAGCAAGCAATAAAATAAATGTAACTTGTCATTTCAACTTAGATGCGCAACTGGTTTCTGTTGCATTCTAAAGGAGCTACCACAGCACAAATCCTTTGCTTCATCACTGCCCAGTTACATGGGAAAGTACCAGTGCTATATCTTCTGTAACTGTTTTCAGGGTGTTTAGGGCATCAAGGTCAGCTCTGCTTTGGCCTCAGTCTTGCAGAGCTGGGGATATTTGGATGCCATTGATCCCAGGTTATTGCTTCAGCACCAATGCCAAAGCAGGGATCAGCTCAGTAGTCTCTCATTCAGAGTGCTTTCACTCGCTCCTGTTTCAAAAAGGGCCTAACAATTATCTGAATGCTAAACTAAAAAGTATTCTCCTCTATTAATGTTATGCCTCCCAAACAGAGCGTTAGAAAAGGTTGACAAATTACAGAAGGGCAAACCATTTACAGTAGCACAGTTTTCATAAAGCCTTCAAGCCTTGGCTGCCTGAGGGATTTGGATACAGTGTCCAGTAGCAATCACTAGGACTTTTGCAATAAGCTAACTACCATACTTCACACCCCGCAGCTGCTTATCATCGAACATGAAATGGCTCTTTTTATTTTAAGTTATAAAACTACATAAAATTGCTTGCCTGATTTTTTTTCCCCCCTTAGATGCACAACTTACTTCCCCCACATAGTTGTTATAGATTCTATATGTGCAGAAGCTGCAGTTACTAAATTCACACAGCAGAAAGTAGGTTATTTCTACTCCTATGATATGCAAGTGATATTAAATTAGTCACCAGCACATAGTCAGTCAGCATGCAAAAGAAGTGGTCTGACAAAGCACAAGTTGGATTATACTAACTTCACAAATTTTGCTTCTCTATGAAAAGGGAACGGAGAAAAAGTGTTCCAAAACATGTGCGCACTATGTGCATGCATTCACAAATAATGCAAGGTGCAACTAAATACACTACATCAGGGTAACCCCTTCTTCTCTTTCACCATGTGACGCAGAAAAATACAAAGACCTTGTTACCTGCATCTAATTTCATGAAGTAAGTTGGCTTTTCAATAACAATGTCGCATTTCCCGTCTTCTATGGGTCTGAAACTCAAGCGAGTAAATGTCTGGAGTTCAGCGAACCTGGAAATATTCATCCACAGGTCACACATCTGACTACGAGTACCAATTCCGCTCTTACAATTCAACGATCATTAGGGGAAATTGATATGATGAACAATGTTCCCCATGTTGAATAACACTTGACAATTAAAATTAATTTCAACTGAAACAGATGGTTCTGAGGCTACAGGCTTCAAAAAGGTTAAACTGTGCCTTTGATCTCAGGAGTTGAGCAGCATCTTTGATCTACAAGTCAAGGCAGCAGAGAAAACCTTTCTGCCCACCCACATGTCCAGGCTGCAGTTGATGCAAATACATTAATTTAAGTACATACAAGTCACATGTGCTGATGTGCATTTAAAAGGCACTTGAATGCCAATCTGAATACTTTCCTAAGAGCAATAACCATAACAGCACAGCTGACGAATCTGCCACTAATTAGGAGGGATGTCTATGTCCACTGGAACTGGATGGGGGTGTTCAGCTGATGGGACTGAAATTACCAAACACGAGAGAGAACAGTTAAGAGGGTCCAGACAGAAAGATCCAAGAAACTCTGGTGTAGCCAGGGGATGCCCAAATGGAAACAGAATGAGGAAGAAAACTGAAGCCTCAGGTGCCTCCAGGCACAAGGGAGCTACCTGCAGTTGCATGTGGCAGCAGCTCTGAAAAAGGCAACCGTCCATCTCCAAATACCCAGCTTCCAAGGAAGGCCTCCCCGAGCATCTGCCCCATCAGTCCAAACACAGGCCTGTGGGGGCAACCCTGACCATGCAGAACAAGCATGATATTAGCCTCAGTTCAGCAAAAGGCTCAAGTCAAGAGCCCCTCAGCTGAATGGAGGAAAAAGGGCTTTTGACCCCAGAGGTACTTTACAGAGGCAGCAGCCTCACACCTTCACCCTACAGTCAGGACAGGTTTAGCTTTGTTGCTCCCAGCCATGCAGCTTGGAAATCAAGCCCTGGATTTCCAGTTTCTAGCACTGCGCACAGTCATTTCCAATTCACTTCAGAAACCATTTCAAGTGGTTCTCAAGCAAAAAAAAAAAAGAAAGGAGTGCTGCTTTGGGGTCAAGGTGGGACAACGGCCTTTCCTCCACAAAACCGTATTATCCGCAGCCACTACAACTTAGCCCTGTGGGCTATTTTGACTCTCTCCCACATGGATGTTTCAAAACCAACTGCTGCAAATACATAACAGTGCACGGGATGGGATCTGCACTCATTCCTCGTTTGCAAGAGTCAAGGTTTTCCCAACACAAACACATTTGCACTAAACACCCCACTGAGAGCCGCTAGAGCCCAGGAAAGAAAGAGTGAGAAAGAATAAGATAATTTCACTGAGAAGCGGTCAAGACAGCAAATCTTACCAAGACTGCAGAGGACTCTTGCGCTGACCTTCTGCCAGGAAAGCTCGAACATCAAGGTTGCAAGAGCCACCGATTTCTCCTTTCTGGAAAAAGTCCTCCCTGAACCTGGAGGAATAAAACCCCATCAGCACAATATACCCGACCCCAGTGCAGCAGTTCAAGAGGGGTCAACCCAAGCCTGAAGCAATCCAGTGTGCCATTAATGCAATATGGGCAATGCAATATGGCTTAGCTTTCCCAGCTCCAGGGCTCAAGCCAATGCTGCCAAGTCACAGTTCAGTACGGTGCTTCAAGTTGAAGTATGAGACATCCCTCTGCCATAACCCAAACTTACCCAAACTTGCTCAACTGGCCCTGTTGTCTCTATGCACTACATTCAACCGTAACATTTCTTTGATTCTGGGCAGGGGTGGCCATATTCTCACACGTACAACACACTTCTTTCCCCAAAAACCAGCTACTAGGAATTGGAGTGTGCCTTATATGTGACAAATATGGTAAAAGCAGGTTCTGTGAAAATATTATATGTGGTAAGCATCCTAAATTCGGTCTGTCTACCTCCTGCGCCCACCCACGCCACTTGATACCACCCAAGCAGGCAAAGGATGGATTGGATTCTCTCGCCACCACTTCCTCCTTCCATCTTTTGCTTTGAACAGGCCAACTAAACCAGGCCTGCAGGCCACACAGACAAGAGATAATCTGCTTTGCGAGTCCTGACGGGCCTTTGCACAAGCCCAACACCCAGCTAATCCGTCCTATCTGGACATCAGCATTTGCTGGCAGATTTCAGCAGCAGCAATTTAAGGGGCCCTGGAGACTGCAGAGCTGAAGCCTTATAGTGAGATAAAGTTTTAGCAGGCAGATACCATGATGAAGGGTGCACCAGATATGCAACAAGTCTCCCTCCCTGCAGATATGAGTTTTGAAATACATTTTTCCTGGTGTTTCCTGGTCACAACAGAACATGAACGATTCAGAGACCTGTCATGACTCCTCTTGGCAGTCCTCAAATCTATGTACAGGTTGGTAGCTCTGCAATACTGAAGGTACTGTGAACAGGTAAGCGAGGAATCCCCCTGGGAGAAACAAAACAAGTAAGGGTTGATTGTAAAAAAATTAACATGCTTACAAGACAGCGCAGCCTTCACAAGTTACCTATTTAATACCCACAAACACCTACCATTTCCATTGGCTTGCAGTGGGTTCTCATTTCATCCAACCGCTCTCTTACGTAGCCAAAGTCAGCTTGTTTCCAGAAAATCTCTTGAGCCGTCTCAATGCTGTTAGCCCTGATGCATGGGGGAAAAGATTCAAGGTCCTTCCTTTAACATACATTAGCTTTCTGATGTGCCCCTTTAATCCAGATGGTAGGAGAAACTGTTTCATTTTTCACTATCCATAGGAGACTTCAAAATAAGCCAGCCATGATAAAATGAATATTCACACATTTTTTAAGCATCACAATGCAGGGCCTGCTGGGCAACAACGGTTAACAGAGGGACTGTTTAGTCCAGGATTCGCAACGTGAAGTAGTCACAACCCAGAAGTGAACAAAACCAGGACAGCAAAAATGGAAGATACGTGGACACAGACAGGAGACAAAGACAGCTGGTTACAAAAGCCCAGAGCCTGCAGAACAATCCCCACCACGTGCGACCCTCTGCCCCCCGTTTCGTGTATTTTCTTTGTATGTTAGGTTACTAAAAATTTGCTCTAGCTTCTACCTAATATGAAGAAATACTCATGTATATATAGTGCTTGGAGAACACAAGCTTATATATTTATTTTGGACAGATAGGAAGTGGGACACTTCGGGCCCAAGTCCTGTACAGAAGAGAGCCTCCCCAAAAGGCTCTTATGATTTCTACCAAGACATTATAATAGAAGTAACCACTGGGTTTTTCTTTACGCTTGGTTTTAAAATAGTTCATTGCACTTTGCTTAATAAAAGAAGTCAGAGTTAGTAATTATAATTACTTCTGCTTGTTCTTAACTGCAGTAGCCCCCATGACATGAGTCATATCCCTGAAAGGGCATTCAAGAGGAACAATTATTAGGCAATGAGAGGCCAAATCGCACTCCCCTGGGCTATGTATTTTAGCAGCTTATATAAATAAAATGTCTTGGCACACCATCATTTGAAAACACCCTTTCAGCTAGCCTGGATCAGGAGATGGAGTCCTCCTTTAAGCTTGCAAGTTCAGGCCTTAGAGGGTACACCACAGGCTGTGGGCAAAATATGGTCCCCAACTCCCTCACCACAAGAAGGATAGTGACAGTGAAGAGCTATGGAGCTTATTGTCTATCCTGAAGCTACTACAGAAACACAGACTAGAACAGAAAAACCAGCCATGGCTGTTTCCTTCCCATTCAAGTTTCAAAACAGGAAACGGCTTATCGTCTGGATACGGGCAAAAATCCCCACCGGAGCAAGAAGCTAGGTTCCCCGATAGGGTGCAAAAAAACCCAGATTATCAAAAAGTCATGGCTTTAAACTAAATTATAACCAGGTTAATAAAACATGCTAGCAGCAGGTATGTCAAAGCATGAGTTTTCCCTTAGACTCGCACAAGGAAAAAAAGGCTTTACACGTTACAAACGTTTCCATAAAGAGCTTCGTGATTATACCCTCTGCTAGGCAGACACAACCGCAACGCTCCCCAGGTGACACGAATGCAAAAGCAACATGGCCGTCCACCTCATCCATGCATTTAAAGAGGAAACTTACCATCCAGTCTCAACATAGTCACACAACGGGTAACTGAACCTGTGCTCTGGCTTGCAAGATTTCTCATAGCCCCAGCAGGATTTTAGTTTCTTCAAGGATTTCTAGAACACAGAGATCCCCGTTGAAAGCGGCTGCCTGACCTCCAGTTTTAAAGCCGACATACGAGTCGTGCTTAGTCAAACATCCTGTCTCTTGAAAATAAATCTTGCAGAAATCTTCCTGTTTTCTGCTCTCTTAAACAGTATTCTCGATAAGGAAACACTCGGCTTGCCCATGCACGACTTAACGCACATGGATTTGACTGGGTGTGTAAGTATTGCCACGGATATCAATATGGCTTGGCGTGGTAGATGTTACGTGCATATATAGTGTTTTGTTCGATAAGGCCCTTTGAAACTTAAGTTGCAATGAGTCTCATGCACACCTGACAGAGAAGGGCAAACAACCTCAGCCTGGTAAAAACTAATCTAGTAATCCTATAATAAAGCTCCTTTCCTATGCAAGGTGTAGTCCGGCATAAACAAGCCTTTTTTTTTTTTTTTTTTT